TCTTCCGCCCCTCTCCCTCCTCTTCCGCCCCTCTCCCTCCTCTTCCGTCCCTCTCCCTCCTCTTCCTGATCGGCTCTTCCGGGGCCTCCGGAAAACACCGCCCTTCGCGCACAGGAAGTCCCGCCTCCGCCCCCTGAGCGGAAGCAGATTACGGAGCGCGGCCTAAGCCTGGCCGCCTGTGGTGGGGCGGGTGGGGTGCCAGCACCCAGACAGGCAGGATTGTAAGTTTATTTATCTTTAGGTGTGTTTACTGAAGTCCGTCTGATTTTAGGTTTATTGTCGTCCTATCGGTTTTATTTTATGCATTTAAACACAATTCTGAGAAGAGGCTCACGGGCGGCGCAGGGGGTCATGACAGAGAGGGGGCCGTGTTTTCTCCTTTGTCACCTCAGCACATGGCATGGTGCAGGGCCGCTGTAGGCGCGTAATCAATATTTGTTAATCGATTGGCACATCGGATGTTTCTTGCTCCTGGCTGCCGATTCCAGACCTACCACAATCATTAAAAGTTCACTTAAACTTTGGATGCGTCCCAGTACTTTTTCCTGATGGCAGTTAACTGGCCGTCTATATTTTTATCAAGAACTTACGTTCCTGAACTGGTTCAAGATTTTCCTCTCTACTCCAAACTTTCCCTTTTTACCTGGAGACATCAGTATTAACTTGGGCCCTCCTAAGACCCTTGCTTCCCATTTTTTTTCTTTTTTTTAGGCAGTTGGGGTTAAGTGACTTGCCCAGGGTCACACAGCTAGTAAGTGGCAAGTGTTTGGTCTGAGGTTAGATTTGAACTCAGGTCCGCCTGACTTAAGGGCTAGTGCTCTATCCACTGCGCCAACCAGCTGCCCCTGCTTCTCAGTTCTTCAGCCTCGACTGCCATGATCTGCACTTGGATTCTACCTTAGCCACACACTAGTGTTCACTTTCAGCCTTATCACCCACAAATGTTCTCACTTCAATGATTGATCCAGAACTCTGAAAATCTTCTGACGTACTCTTCTGATTTTTGCTGAACTGCGTGTTCCAACGTTTATGAAAAATATGACACCATCAGACCAAGTCAAATGATGCAAAAGATCCAAGCAAAAGAAGATTTGTCCCTTGTGTCTCATCGTTCCAAACCTGTTTTTTACTTTCTCTGTAGCCTCCAGTTACCTCATCTCTCCCTTGGGCCATCACCTCTGCTTTGGTTTTAATTATCATACTTTCATCTTGACCCCATAGGTAACCAGTTTAGCTTTATGATGACCCATATCTTTGAATTCTTTACCCCCATTGTTCATCTTCTCTCCCCCCCAAATTCTAGCTCTGGATCCCTCCCAAGATCTGTTTTGTCGTCTTCTACTCTCCTACTGTGGAACTCTCAAGGAGGACCTCACTGCTAAACACCAGTCCTTTTATTCTTCCCTGATTAATTATATCACAATCTCTACATTTATTCCAAACCCCTTTTCTCCTCAGCTGTGCTGCTTCTCTTCCTCACCAAGAAAGCTCACCAAATACTTAAGGCTATCCATCATGAACTCTTTCTTTCCATTTTTAGACCACAAATCCTGCATCATCCCCCATTCTCTCCTTTGCTCCAGTGACAGAAACAAAAAGATAACCCTCCTTGTAAAAAAAAACAAAATCCTCTACTTGTATCCTTGATCCTACTGTGTCTTCTCCTGCAGCTTGCCCCCTTAAAAATACCAGCTCTCCTTAATTTTTAATATTTCCTTACTGGCAGCTTTTGTCTGCTCCCTTTTCCCAGTCTCAAAAAACAAACGACAAACAAACAAAAAGACTTGTTAACCCTAATGTTTCCTTAAACTATTGGCTGCTACGTGATGACTCCAGGGAAGAATTGAATTCAAATTAATTAGCTCAGATGTTTATTAGCTTTGTGACCCTGGGCAAATCACTTAACTTCTCTGTTCCTCAATTTCTTTACCTGTAAAATGAAGAGGTCCCTTCCAATTGACTTTATTTATAATCCTATTTTTCTTCTCATTTTACAAAGTCCTCAAAAGAGCTGTCCTTGACTATTACCTCTATTTCTTCACGTCCCACTCACTTTTCAACCCTTGCAATGTAACTGAACCTCACCACTGAAACTGCTCTAATATAATCAACTACTTCTTAGTCACTAAATTCAATAGCTATTTTTCAGTCCTCATCCTTGAACTCTGAAGCATTTGACATTGTTAACCACTACCTCTTCTGTATACTTTCCTCTTTGGGTTCTTATCACACGGCTCTCTCATTGTTCTCCCTCCCTAATTCTTCTTAGTCTCTTTTTCAGGATCAGCATTCATTCATATTCTTACCCTGGCCCCCAGTCTCTCTCTCTGTCTCTCTGTCTCTGTCTCTGTCTGTCTCTCTCCCTCCTTCCCTCTGTCTATCTGTCCTATTGGTCTCCACAGTTCCAATCCCAAATCACTAACTACCTACCATATATCTCTACTTGGATGTCTCATAGCTTATCAAAATCAACATATCCAAAACAAAATGCTTCTTTTTTTTGCTTCTAAACACACCCTTCTTCCTAACATTCTTATTTCTGTGGGTGGTTCCATCATCGTTCCTGTCAGTCATCTTCCACTACTTTCTTACCCATCTCCCACATTAAGTCAGTCCTATTGATTCCACCTTTACAACCTTTCTTGAATCCAACACTTTCTTTCATTCACATAGCCACAAACTAGTACAAGCCCCCATCACCTCTCACCTAGACTTCTGTAGTGCCCTCTTAATTGATTTCCCTGCTGCCAGTCTGTCCTACCTCTCCAATTTTTATATAATTGCCCTATTGATATTCCTAAAGCTCAGATTTGACTGTGACACTGAACCACTAGAGAAGCTTCCATGGTTCCTTATTGCCTGTGGGATAAAATACAAGCTCCTTTGTGGGTGTTTAAAACTCTTTACAGTATGGCTCCAATCTATTTTGCCAGTTTGATCCCCTCCCATGTTACAATAAACTAATTGCAGCAAACTAATCAGTTGATCAGTAAACATTTATTAAGTGCTTACTCTGTACCAGGCACTATGCTAAGTGCTGGGAATATAAATATAAAAAAGACAGACAGTCCCTGGCTTCAAGGAGCTCACAAACTTTAAAAAAAATTAAATTTATTTTTAATATTCATTTAAAAATTTTTTTGAGTTCCAAATTCACTCCCTCCTCCAGGCCTTCCCCCATCCGTTGAGAAGGCAAGCAATCAATTATACATATAAGGTCAAGTAAAACATTTCCTTATTGGTCATGTGGCCAAAAAAAAAAGGTGTAAAAAATATACTTTAATCTTCACTCAGGGTTCATCAATTCTCTGTCTCTGGAAGTGGATATCATTTTTCATCACAGGTCCTTAGGAATTAATTTAGATCACTGTCTTGATTAGAGTAGCTAAGTCTTTCACAGTTGGCCATCTTTACAATATTGCTGTTACTGTGTAAAATGTTCTCTGGTTCTGCTCACTTTAATTTGCATCAGTTCATATAAATCTTACTAGGTTTTTCTAAAACTGCCCTGCTTATCATTTCCTATAGTACAATAGTATTCCATCACAATCATACACCATAACTTGTTCAGCCATTCCCCAATTGATGAACATTCTCTCAATTTCCAATTCTTTGCCATCACAAAAAGAGCTGCCATAAATATTTTTGTACATATAGGTTCTTTTCCTTTTTCTTCTGTCTCTTTGAGGTATGGACCTCGTAGCAATATTGTTGGGTCAAAGGACAAGCACAATTTGATATCCCTTTGAACATAGTTCCAAATTATTCTCCAGAATGGTTAGACCAGTTCACAACTCCACCAACCGAGCATTAATGTACCTATTTCTCCCCACCCCCTCCAACATTTGTCCTTTTCTTTTTCTGTCAAGTTAACAATTCTAAGAGGTGAGAGGTGGTACCTCAGAGTTGTTTTATAATGCATTTCTCTAATCAATAGTGATTTAGAGCATTTTTTCATGCGACTATTAATAGCTTTGATCTCACCTGCCTATTCATATTCTTTAATCATTTATCAATTGGGGAATGGCTCTTATTTTTATAAATTTGGTTCAGTTCCCCATATATTTGAAAAATGAGGCCTTTATCAAGAAACTTGTTATAAAAAAAAACTTTCTTGTTTGCTACTTTCCTTCTAATTTTGGCTTCATTGGTTTTATTTGTGCAAACATTTTTAAATTTAATGTAATCAAAATTATCCATTTTACTTCTTGTGATCATCTCTATATCTTGTTTGGTCATGAACTCTTCCTTTATTCATAGATCTATCAGGTACATTCTTCCATACTCTCCTGATTCACTTATGATATTACCCTTTGTATCTAAATTATGTACCCATTTTGACTTTGTCTTGGTATACAGTGTGAGATGTTGGTTTATACCTAGTTTCTTCTGACCTGCTTTTCAGTTTTCCCAACAATTTTTGTCAAATGGTGAGTTCTTACCCCAAAAACTTAGAACTTTGGCTTTATCAGACCTTAGATTACTATGATCATTTACTACTGTGTATTGTATACCTAATCTATTCCATTGATCCACTGCTCTATTTCTTAATCAGTACCAAATTTTTTGATGATTACTGCTTTGTAATATAGTTTGAATTCATGTTTTTTCTCATTGATTCCTTTGACATTCTTGACCTTTTGTTTTTCCAGATGAATTTTGTTATTACTTTTTCTAACTCTACAAAATAATTTCTTTGGTAGTTTGATTGGTATGACACTGAATAAGTAAATTAGTATTGTCATTTTTTTTATGTTGGCTGAGCCTACCAATGAGCAATTGATACTTCTTCATTTGTTTGGATCTGTCTTTATTTGTGTGAAAGGTGTTTTATAATTCTATTCATACAGTTTCTGGGTTTGTCTTGGCAGGTAGACTCCCAAGTATTTTATATTGTCTGCAGCTGTTTTAAATGGAATTTCTCTATCTCTTCCTGTTGGATTT